CTTCCCCCCCTCGACCCCCCCCTCGCCGGCCTCCACGCGGTCCACCGAGGGCCTCCTTTTTGTCACGCTGCTTCCAACGACTTCTCGCACAACATGTGGAATTTCTAGCGAATCACTTTACTCGCCTTCACTCGCCTGTGTGAAAAACAGTGAAACAGATACAATCGACGCGAATTTGATCTAATTGAGCATTATTTAGTGAGGTAAAATTTGTCCCCTTTTTCTTCGAAAATAATGCACGACGGAGGGACTCTTGTTGCGTGTATAGAAAAAAAAAAATGGAAAGCTGCAACGAGAAACGCAGCGAGAAACTGTTTGCTCGATTAATGACTTGATAGTCGCAATGAAGCATAAGCAAAGTAGACCGTTTGTACCATTAATGGTATCGCGCGCTTACGGACAGCCCGTAAAAGGAAGCGGTAGAGCCGCGACCATTTAAAACTGTCGCCAGACTTGCACTTCCGCCCTAAATACGCGCCTCGAGTACAAGATCCGGTTTTGTACGCGATAGCTACGAGGTCACTCGTGGCAAAATGCGACTTACGCTTCGAAAGTAGGTGAGTGGATGACACCTACTAGCGTGTATTATCCTATCAAACAAACGACGATCACTCACTGCGCTAAAAAGAACGTTTCTCTCAATTCTCGCCTTGAGACAATTTGACTTTTCAATATTTCGCTCTTTGCGTATCACTAAACTTTCTACAATATCGCTATAAATATATACGTTTAATTTGAAAAGATCGACGCGATCGTAGCGCAATCTTCAAGATAATAAATAATATGAGATTTAAATTTAGATTATACGAACGATTCGAAAGAAGATAGCTTTTGTTTAAAAAAGTCTTTCGTATATATCTCAAAAAAATTAGGTTCTAATAATAAAGGAAAAAATAATTGCGTGTTAATTACACATGCGGCTGTTATTTATATGATATCGTTATAGGTTGCATTCGCCTTGGAGGTCACAAAGATTAGCTCTCCGTGAGAAACTGTATTCTGCGCGATACCATAAATAGCTAGCGATAACGGCATCATTGCTGCTGTATCACAACATGCACCATAAAATTACATATTTGCTTCATTAATGATCCGCGTCAAAAGGTCAGAAGGAGCAGTTTGAACCCTTTCAGAAATGTCAGTTTACATTGCACAGGCTGCTCCGGAGCCAGCGAAGGAGCTCTCTCTCTCTCTCTCTAATCTTTCTCTCTTTTTTTTTTTATTTACCACAAAGTCATATTTATCGCGACTATTTTACAGCAACCGAATCTCAAGAAAAAATAATAAACGCAATAATCTCGCATTTTGTTCAGCACGAAAGCGTAACATTATCTCCTCCGATAATCTGATAGAAAGAAGATTGCTAAAAAAATTGCCACACTTTCAGAAATATCGAACCTTCTCTCAGGTAGCGTTTCTCGGTATTTTTTTTTTTTTAACGACGCTGCGATTTTTATCCTGCACTTCTATGAACGACGGTTTAAACGTTACGACGGTTCAGCCATCGTTCCAGGAATAAACGCTTAACAACGCCGACGGCGCATCCGCGGCGTCGGTACGCTCGCTAAACCGTCGACGTAATCGGCTTCTTATCGGCTCGCGTATTTCTTTTCGTGCCCGGCGTCACGTTTGCGCCGAACGTGCTGCATCGGTCACACGAGCGCAACGCACATATTCGCGCACGCACGTTTCTCACGAATGCAAGGCCCGCGACAGTTGATAAGCGGGCCGCTCGTACAGCGGAAACGTGAGTTTCCGATATAGATCGCTCATGTTTGCCAGTAATTTTAATCTCGGCTTTGGAATTCGAAATCTTTCGAGGTCGAATCAGTCAAACGTGATCGCGCCCCGTGTCTTTCCTCGCGGATCGGTCAATTGCATTAATCACGTTGAAAACACCACCTGACACGTACGAGCCAGGTTGATATTCATGCATGAAAGACCGATGCATCTAGCCATGGCACGTGTATCGATTCAGTGGAACGAAACGTGTGACTAAATTTCTAAATGATCAATTTTCGATTAAGTCGAACGCCAAATTCTGCACTTCAACATCGGTCAGCATTAAAATTCTTCAATCAATTTTAACATTTTTAATTTCAATCTTAGCGGCGTATTAAAAATTGAACAGATGTCGATAAAATTTGCTTAATATAAATATGGACTCTCAATTAGCAAAAAACTAGACACTTTACGCTGCGAGTTCCCCGATGGAAATATTTCGCTGAAAGTATTATGAAATCAATGAAAAGTAGAATGAAAGTTTTTGAAAAATTACTGAATATATTTCAAAATGAATCATAATTTTCCGTATGAAAATTTAATGTAATACTATGAAATATAAGGAAAGTTAAAATATACTGCTGAAAAGTAATAAAAGAGTTTTTAAATAATTATCATTATGAAATTTACTGAATTAAACTGAAAACTGTTACTTTTTAATGAAAAATTGCTGAAATATTTATGAAATTAATTAACGGGGTCAATTGAGAGAAATTTTCAAATACATTTCAGCAAAACTTCGTTATATTTTTAGAAAAATATCTCCATCAGGGCTTTCTAAGATAAGTTATTGATGCAAGGAAAGAGTGCGATATCGTTTCTCGCTCGATGCGCAAAAAAATAAATTTTTACTCACGCAATAATTGTGAAGCGTTCGGGGCGAGTCCGTAGGCCAAGCGGGTTAACATTCTGCGCAACTTTCGCGCAATCGGTGGATGCTTAGAGAAATCACGCATATCGCATGATACCGAAAAGAATCCGCGGGAGCGGCGATAGCGTTGCAGAATATGTCCGTCCGCGGCCGATCATCCGGTTTTGTTTACGTCTCGATGTGACGGCCGTGCCGCCGCCGCTATCGTCACAGGAAACCGGTTCGCCGTTGGATTTAGTCGGTTTCGATATCAGCTGCCGCTGGGAGAGTTCAAGAAGGCGACTCGCGATTAACTTGGACCCGGTCGCTCCGCCGTTCATAGCCAGTTAAACGAGGCTCCTCTCTGCTTTTTCTTTCTTTCAATTCGTGCACGCACGTGACGCGCGATAAGGAAACGCCTGTGCAGCGAGCCGAGAGGCCGAAGAACGCTCCATAACGCTCCGCGTGATATTCTCGTTTCAATTAGAACAGTTTTGTCTCATGTAGTCTTAATCTTCTCTTCTTCTTCTTCAAGAATAGAAAATTCTCCTATTACCGAGCAAAACTGAAATAAATATCGTGTAGAATATTAATTTATGCACTAATATACAATGATTCAAGATCGAGATTTTCGAATTTACACGTTTCGATTAACGAAAAAAATTTTTTGTATGAAACAGTGGTGTAAATATGCATAAACTTTATAAGAATTATTATATCTAACTTTAGAAATATAAGCAGAATATTATGTGCAGATCAGATTAACAGCACAAAGATAAAAGAAATAAAATTAAAAGATAAACATTATATAAAGCAATATTTTGTATCAAAAATGATTTTTTATACTCATCTTTCATGCGGATTTATTATTAAAAATAAATAAAATCCGATATGCGTTTCGAAATTTTGATTAAAGCATAATCAATTCGAAATTCTTGGCAAAAGTATACTTACATAATCTGAAGAAGAGGAGTAAGCAAAGTGTAGGAAACGGTAACGATGGCGAGTATTTGCATTCACTTTCGTAATAAATGTACAGTTTTTATTTTTGAGCTATCGTCGTGTGTGTATCCAATATAATCATTTGTTAACTTACTAAATACAAGTATCTCACGTTTCTTACGTTCACAATGATGACGGCATGAAACAAATTGTACTTTTGTACACAAGTTGCGTAGCATCCTGCAATAATGCGTAAGAATGGAACGAAATTTAATCGCTGCACATGGAATACGATTAAAATGTCAAACAGGATCGAAAGTTTCTGTCGAGTGATGTCATCAATACCATTCGATGCGACATAATGAGAGTAATAGAATCAGTTCCTCCCATCAAACTTTTGCAACAAGATTCGATATTCGCTCATTATTCGGATCATTAAAAGACACATTTGTTATTAGCTTTTTTTTTTGCACAGAACATGTATACATGACGCGAAATGATAGTTAGAATCAAGATTATTAACGTATGCACAATTTTTTTTTTCATATGTCGCAGAATATTGTTCACATATTATGCGACATTCCGAATATTCGTAAAAAAAAACTTGTGCTCGGCAAGTATTTAGCCAGAAAAGAATTTGAGGTAAATTTCTTGCAATCATAATTCCTCATAAAGTCAAAAAATGTACAATTTTGCGCCCCAATAACTCATTAATCACACTGCGTGCTGTGATTGTAAAGTTTTTCGATAAAAATATGATCGGTGTTGTTTCAGCATAAAAATAAGTAGTGTCCATCTATGATTGTTGAAAAACTGGCTGCATGCATAAACGAGGATTCGAAAGTTAATAAAAAGATAACCCTCAGACGATGCGATCGCATAAATGCTCCGGAAAACTATAAATAAACTTCCATCACAGGGGACAAGAATTTTTTTTCCTCGAATCTCGCGCCGGAGATCGAATGTGAAACATTCGGGATACCCAAACGATTACATTCCGCCTGTGATGCTCAGTCGCGTTCTCCTCTCTCCTCCGCTCGTTCTTCCGCCCTGGCTTTCATTCTGGTGATGAATGCCTGGCCTTTGTTCTTCCGAAAAGTTTCGTACGGATCATTCAGATTGATACCGACTCCTTTGTATTGATCGTTCTTATCGCGAATCTCGCCCCCGGAAATGGGCGCCTCGATGCCTTGCTCGTTCGCACCGAGGCCGGCACCACTCCAGCCCATCTTCTTGAGCAACTGGTGTCCTTTGTTGCTCTCGTCAATACTAATTTCTTGAGGAGCTTTGCTATAAGTGGAACCGCTAAGAGCAAAAGAAAATATGTGCAGGATCGTCGAAAGATTGATGATAAAAATATGTCCAAAAAAAAATTCATGCAGAACTATTTCAGTTATTTGTTATGGAAAAAACAAACAGAAATGAAGACACACTAATACTTACAGAAAACTAGGAGGAGTCGGACTTCTATCCTGCCTATCGATTCGTCTGTCGGGGCTGCGATCTTTATTACTGTTTCTCCTCCTTCTGCTTCTACTAATATGATTGCTGTTGCGACTGTTGCGTCTGTGATTAGCAGCGGGCGATCTCGATCTACTTCTGCCCCGCGATCGCGAGCGCGATCTACTGCGCGACTTACTTCTATAGCGTTTCTTTGGCGGACTAGGACTCTTGGATCTCGGCCGTAGTATCGGCGACGGCGATTTAGATCTCTGCCTAAGACCAGCGGCAATGTCCTCCTCCTTCCGCTTGCGAGCGGCATTTTTCGCTTTGTAGTACTCGTATAACCCTAATTTCTCCCATCCGTCGCTGCAAGTGCGATTAAAATTGTTGTTTACGGAACAAAACTACGTAAACTGTACGCAAATGTGTGTGCAATAATTACCTATCTCTAGGGGAATCGTGATTCGGCGGCGCGTAAAACGCTTCCACAGCTGCAACTAAACGATCGCTCGGCGGTGCCGGTGGCGGCAGTCTTATCGCATCCGGATCCAACGGCTTGTATTCGCCATCTTCCAGCTTTATTAGAGGTACCATTAGACCAGCTGGGAGCTCAAAATAAGGCATACTAGGCATTAAATCTTCCACGGAAGGTTCATGGATGACGGGGTGGCGGTCCGAAGCCCGGTGGCGGCTTTGAAAAGTCGGGTAGGGGAACATTGCTAAACGGCGGCGGTTCATTCGATGGCGGCACTCCCCATCCTGGCGGTGGTTGACTGAAGTTCACGTCAGTGCCCATCGTGCCGGGCGGGCCAGAATGACTAGGCGGTATTGACATGTTTTGCGGAGTCTGTCACAGAAAAGGGCTGATGTAAACACGAGAAAAACTAGAATTGCTACAAGTAAAATGTAAAAATATTACTATTTGAGGCGGCGGCGGCGGCGGCGGTGGAGCTTTCAGTTGCTGATCTATCGCCATTTTTTGTTGCTCGATATTTTGAATTTGTCTGAGTGCATGAGTGACAAATGCTTGATGCTGCGCCTGGTAGTTATCGAATGTCTGTTTCGTCGATGCTGTAATAGGAGTAATGGCGGTAGCATGTTGCGCTACCAAGTTAGCCTGGTACTCTGACCAGGATGTACTCGGTTGTTTCAATTTATCTATGATCCCTTCGTCAAAGTAATTATTCTTAGATTCCCATAAACTCAGCAGTTTATTCAGTTTATTAACCTGCTCTTCCGATGCTGCTAGCGAAGTGTTACAGAACATGGGAACAACAACACTTTCCATCGCCTTGCGAAGATCCATAGACTTTTTTCTTGCACTAAAGAATTTCCCAATTAAATACCTTGTGCCAAGTTGTAAAAACGCAACGTTCTATCGCATATATTACTAGTGTTTTCAAATATAAATAAGCGTAAAATAATGAGGACATTTTAGGAACAATTGCGCAAGTTAACACTTTGGAGGAATATTTAAGAATGTTGAAAAACTGTTGACGAGGAGAGAGAATTATTTTGAAAATTAATCGTAACTGTGAATATATGGAAGTAAACATAAAAGTCCAGTTTTCAGCATTGATTATTGCAATTGGTTTGTGTATCATTCTGCGTGTATATGATACATATACATATTTATACTAACCAGTGATGTAAAACGTCGTTCACCAGATAAATAATGTGCAGTTTATGACTAAATGTTGTCCCTTGAATTACTCTGAAAGGGAAAGCATTCGAAAATGTAAAGTGAAAAATAAGTGCGCCGCGTATAGAAAATATGCTTGTGTACATACTTTTTCAACAAGTGGTCCGCGACGACTTGATTACTTTGCGAAGTAAGTGAATTCTGAAGTATCCAGGCCTTTCCCGCGCTTATGCTGTCCTTAGTGCAGCTATCGACGATCGGTTGTAGCACCGTGTCAAACGCAGCCAAATCAGTATTCGTGTTTTGCGCATTGCTTTGCAGAGCCTGTTCCTGCGCCTGCCTCACAGCATCTTCCACCCTTCCCTGCTGCTGCGCCATCAACGCAGCATGCTGCGCAGCCAAGTTCTGTTCTGACTGTCTCACTTGTTCCTGCAACGTTGTCTGCTGCGACTGTAGATTCGCCAGTTCATTCTGCAGCCAAGCGGGCGGGCCCGCGATGTTAACCGTTTGCGCGACTCCGGCGATCGGCGGATTCACACCTCCCATGGCGCCGGGGACCGGTCCGATCGGCGGTCCTGCATTTCCTGGCCCCCCAATTTGTCCAGGCAAAACGGGACCGCCCTGACTTCCAACCTGGGGTCCGATTCCGACAACTGGATTTATGCCATTGTTTTGCGCGCTCAGACTGGATGCAAGACTGACGTTATTCAGTGGCTGCGAGACGGTGTTTGCGGCTGTTTGCTGCTGCTGCGAAACGTTTAAACGTGGGTCTGCATTTTGCATTGGATTTATTCCTTTTTGCTTTAAAACTGTAAACGAATGACGGTGGATTATTGTGAGATGCCTGAGTGTTGGTCGATCGATATTTCAAAAATTTGTATACAAATAATCCGATTTTTTTTTTTCTGCCGAGTCTTATCTTCTACCGATGCATATAAGAAAATTCTTGAGCATTTACAGAGAGATATATAGTATCAGAAAACTCCGTAAGTTTTTTGGTAGCACTATATTCTTTTTCCGTTTTTTTCTCATTTTTTTTTTTCTACATTTTGACAGTACTAGAGTATTACAAGGCACACTATTTTGGATAGCGGGTCATATTTCCCACCGATTGAAGTAATACATCAACAATATTCTGTATTAGATAAGCTCCAGCAAGAATCTTAAAACTACATCTTCTCAAAATCGTCATTGCCAAGAAATATAAGATGTGTAAAAGCGTTCTGCTTAACAAATAACAATTCCAAAATCTTGAAAGGAAGAGTGTTCCTATTCGACGGATAATAAGTTTTGTATTGTTCGCAATGATGGAATCAGACCCTGTATTGCATTTCAAAGTCATTCCTTTGCTTGTTGCATAAAGCATGGCCTTTACTTATGCTTCTGAATCTGTAGCTGTTAAGGGGGGTATGTCCCACTTACTGGCTTGTTCTGTAGTCACTTTATATTGATAATAGTTGAAGTGCTCTCCCCCAAACAGAAAACCAAACTTCGGGTTGTCCTTTTGCTTGTTTTTTGTCATCTGCTCGAACTCCGGTCCATTGCGGGCGACAAATTGTGCCAATTTGTCTATGATGTTCCGTAATTCTGTGTCTAAATATCATAAGTGAAAATAACAAGAATCATATCAAAGTCAGTAAAAAAAGTCAAGTCATTCTATAGAAGGTAATGTTCACACGCAAATTAATCGAATAAAATCATACAAAATTATACAGTGTTATAAATTATAAATAATATAAATTCTAAAGTTGTAGAAATAAAATTATTATAAATAAACATGGATATATTTTAGTAAAATACATTATGTTAAATAGGTCCAACTTAAATCCTAGATATATTAGCAATTATATAGTTATTATTTTTAATTTTGCGGAAAGTCGTTAAACATGAGCCAAAAAAAGAATTATATTTTTTTTCGGTTAATACCGAAATGGAAATTAACACGCTCTGAATTGAGCAGAGTACGTTCAAAGGGAGATGTGAGAGCGCATTGGGATCGCCGGACCGACGAGCTCCGAAGCAACGTGCTCACCTGCGGGGGCCTGATCCATCCTGACGACTGCTCGACTATTGAAGTTTTAGGAAAAACCCGTTAAAACGTTATGTTTACTCGCTTGGTCGTCGTCTCGTGCGTGAAAGTAATACAGTTCCGTAAAACATTATTCACTCACGACAAATCCAACACACGCTAGAAGTCGCCATTACGAACTGGCGGCGTCCGGCAATGTCACCAACTTATTAATGTACATTCATGCGCAATTCGATAGATACGACATTCAGTTTCCTACGCACAAATTTGTTTCAGAGACTTTACTTGGCCAATATTTGCCCCTAGAAAACAACTTCTCCTATTGGACGTCAGATTGGACGTCACTTTTAAATCAGACGAAAAAACCTATTGCTTTATCTAGTGATTTATTTTATTGTGGCAGCAGTGCTCGAGGTTTGGAGAATGTCCGAGGAGGGCATCACGCGCGAAACCGCGAGTTCCGTACATGTCTCTATATTTCAGTGATTTGATCAATGGTGCCGCATGGTTTTGTGCGAATTTGATAATCAAGTTCTATTTTACTCCCTTGATTTTATTGTGAACTGCATTGATCTGGAGGACATCTACTTGGCGTCATCATAATTATACCGTAAGATACTTCGTAAAGAATTTCTTTCTTCTAACGTGACATTTTGTGGATTTTTCTATTTTTTGCTTTGAGCATATTGAGTTTGTGGTTCATGTAAAAGTGTTAAGATAATATGTAATGTCTTGTTTCCATTTCTTTTTTTTTATATAAGCTTTACAAAAGCCTACTCATTGCAAGCTGTAATTAACGAGTGAATTAAAATAATATAAACTGCAGTTTCTAATTAATGGTACAGCATATAGGTTAGGCTGTCCATATTTTAACAGCAATCTTGAGCCAGTATCGCTACAATTTTTCATATAACTTAATTGCCGCAACTTACTAATTGTAGCAATTATTTTTCTGACTTATTATACACGCAACTAAAGTAACATTTCTAACAAGTTTCTTAGATATAAACTATTGTCAACTACAAAATAAAATATTATATGCATATGACATATAGAATGTTGTCTTTTTAAAGCAAATACGTGAGGACAAAAATATTACTGTAATTGCAACATGCAAAGTTGTTAGAATTGAAACCTTTTGCAATCACTGCGACTAAATTACTTCTAAAAACTGCGTAGTATGATAATGAAAAAGTTGCGGCAATTTATCGCAGCAAATTGCTGCAACAAATTGCACAGTTGGATACAGGCTTTAATTATAAGGAAAATGTTTTTATCATTTCATGAAACATGTTACCGGATTATGAATCAATATTGAATCATGATTCCATAAAGCTCACTCATAAAAAGATACATGTTAGATCAAATAAATTAATGATATTTTTAACATGTTGGAAACATATAAAGTACTGTATAATTTTATATCTAATTTGTTTCAGCGTTTGTGTACATTTTCTGGCTCTAGTAGTGTTTCATTTATTATAAAAATAAGATGACTGAGAATTCATCAACAGGTTAAGTATAATAAATATTTATGTAGATGTTAATATCAATTAAAAACATCCAATGTGTAAAACATCAATTATATAAACCCAATTTAACATTTAGAAATATAAATTTTTAACATAAATGTATTTTTATATATTATGATAAACAATTAAAGTTTAAAGTCCTTGCTTGGACAACAACAGTTCTAACTGACTTTATCTTGCACAAGCTTTGACAGCATTAAATAAGATTTAGATTGAAATAAAGTATATTTAATGAAATATCTTATTGTGAGAAAGATAATTTCCTTACTATATTCAAGTTTGATGTTTATACACATTGCACACATATGCCTTAAGAACAATGTTTATACATGTTGAACATGTGTAATATTGCACAACTTGCAGAGGTGCCAGTTGCACAATCTGAGGTAAAGTCTAGTTGGGCCGATGAAGTCGAAGAAGAGGGAGGAGCGTTGCCCGCACCCTCGGAAATCTATGAGAATGGCTTCAAAATTCTCACGGAGTATAAATATAATCAAGATAACAAGAAAGTCAAGGTTGTACGTACTTACAAGATAGAGCGGCGCATCGTCTCGAAAACGATTGCGGCGCGCAAAAATTGGGCAAAGTTTGGCGATTCTGCCGACGATAGGCCGGGACCTAATCCAGCCACTACTGTCGGCGGTGAGGATGTCTTTATGCAATTCATATCCAGCAAGGAGGAAGAAAACAAAGTGGAGGAGGATTCCTTGGATAAACTGAAGAGCATGGGTGACAAAGGTGTTGTCAAGTGCCGTAACTGCAATGGCGATCACTGGACGTCTAAATGTCCATATAAAGACACTGTTCTCGCTGGCGGTAAGTTATACATAAAAATCTGCAACTAAAATTAAACAATCACATAAATAATACATAGGCACGTATTAATAAATCAGTTATATATCGAGGCTATCACAGCCCACATCAGGCTCAACGTCCTCGATTGTTATATGTGCAAAAGTTAAAACAAAATTTAATTAAATGTAAATTTATTATTTAAATTGATAATTAAATGCATACATCTCTAATTGCTAAAAATCCATTTCTAGGAAAAGTGCCAGATGACAAAAAACCTCTTGTTAACGCGGGAGTACCCGGTGCAATGGCGGAGCTCAAACCGCAGGGTGGCAAGTACGTGCCGCCCGGTATGCGTGACGGCGGCAATAAACGAGGCGACTCTATGCAGATGCAGAGACGTGACGACACAACCGCCATCCGTATTTCTAATCTCTCGCAGAGCACCACGGATGCGGATCTGGACGAGCTTGTGAAGCCTTTCGGCTCCGTGGTGAAACAGTTCCTCGCTAAGGAGAAGCTTTCCAATCTCTGTAAGGGTTTTGCATATGTACACTTCAAGCATAGGGCTGACGCTGCAAGAGCGATCGCTACCTTGGACGGCTACGGCTACGATCATCTTATTCTGAGCGTGGAATGGTCAAAGCCGCAAGCTCAAAATAATTAACTCCAATTAATTGTAATTATTGGAATAAAAGATAAAGAAACTCCATCTTTGACATACATTTAACGTTAAATGTTAATAGCTGCAGACAGAATAGTTTTGAATTAATGGAAATTCAAAGCATACTGCAATATCAGAAGGTTTACACTAATAAAATTATAACATAAATTAAATTTTTCTATTGAATATATTATTTATTCATTGTAAAATATAAAATAAAAAAATAATAAATGTTGCAATGAACATACATTTAACGTTAAATATGATAATTAATTTAATTCTCATTCCATGTTTGTATTAAACACATTTATATCAATCAAATATATGGATTCAATTATTGAGAAAAAAATCCTTTGAAAATTGCATTTATACGAAATTTTATACATTCTTACATTAACAGAAATAGAAGGACAATAGTGTTCTGTGTTTACTCCATTTAATTCTAAATATGAAAATAAGATTTTAATCGATATATTGAAAATTTTAATGTTAAATGTATGCCAAGTATATTCTTTATCTTTTCTTTTTATCTTCTCTTTTATTTTATATTTTATAATTTATGCAAGATAAATATATTGACAAGTAAACATAAAATCTTATTTTTCGTCATAATTTTATTAGTATAAAATCTTCTGATATTGCAGTGTACTTTTAATCCTTAATAATTCAAAACTACTTTGTTTACTCTTGTGAAAAATTATGATATCAATAAATAAAATATCATACTTTGTATTCTGAGAATCTTATTGATTAAAAAATATATTGTAAATTCTTACGTAATGGATTTATTTCCTTCATTTCTCCACATCCTCAATCATTGAATTGCAACTCCTTTGTTTACTCTTGTGAAAAATTATACCAATGAATAAAATATACTTTGTATTCTGAGAATCTTATTGATTAAAAAATATATTGCAAATTCTTACGTAATGGATTTATTTCCTTAAATTTCTCCACATCCTCAATCATTGAATTGTGCAAGAAAGCGTGAAAGAAGGAAACTATTATCGAAAACTCTCGAATTGGGATCAGATGATGAATTCGACCTGGAATTTTATTCATATCTTGACATGAGGAGTGTAAATCGCTTAGCATAGACAGTTTTATTTCAGTATATTACATAGATTATATTGAATCACAATGAATATAATTACATTTTGATCTGGCCGCGCAGCTGCATTATGAGTAGATTTAGGTACATATTTCCGGAATCATAACGTTACGTCTAATACAACCTTACACAATGGCTTATTAGAAGACTCCTTGAAGGTACATCCATCGCTAATTACAATATAATACATCGTTTGTGTCGTATCCTTTTGCTTGGGACCAGTTTGCGACAACAGATATCGAAGAATAACCAGCAAGCTCTGCAAGCTTGATGAAATATTGAGAACCAACTAATGGCTGCTAAACAAAAGATCGTCACTGGAAAATTGCGAGGATCGAGTGAGACAGAACAATGCATGCAACTCGTGTTTGTTCAACCCATTATTCTTCTTGCACAATAAATATAGAACACCCTGTAATAATCCAATTATTCGTAAATACAATCATCAATAAAAGGTTGGCCAGCTGGAAAATGCACGATTAAAATTTATCAGTTATCTCTTTTGGATTTCCGCAATATGTGTTTGGTTTGCACACTTTTCAGTGTAAAATAGATTATAATACCGAGTAATCTAAAATGTTTGAGGAGGAAATGCGTATTTTTTCACATGCCGATGGCAAATCGATATTAAAACCATCTCATTAAACATGCGCGTTGAAACGGAAGATACTTATCGTTGAATTAAATTTTATCAATTTTTTTTTTTCAATCGCCTACTTGATCTGCTTTGTTCAAATCTGTTTTTGGTCCAGCTGGTATCCTCTCTGATTCATGAATTAAGAATTGTCGCTACTTCGTCGAGATGCGAACGAAGGATTGCTGCGTCCAGCGGCGAGCTTTATCACGTGACATTGATCTCCTCGTCCTCCTCGTTCTCCGTTTGCTCTTCGGGTCTCTGAGGGCTCGTGAGCGGACTCACATCGCTCAGATCCATCCGCGGCCGGTCGCCGTCGGCGTCGCTCAGATCCGGATTCGGGTTGTTCTTATTCGGTAACGTTTGCTCGCGCGAACCGCCGGTCGCCAGTAACTCTCGCTCTTTGCTGTTCCGCCACTTCATGCGCCGATTTTGGAACCAGATCTTCACCTGCGAGCACAAATCATTAACAACGTATGGTATATATTTAAATATTTTTTTCACATAACTGTACGCTAAATACTTTTCAATTTTACATCCACGTCTAATATTATAGCTATATAATTGATTTGACAATTGTAATAGCATATTTTTCTCAAAGCGCTACATTTGCACGGAATTAATAGAAATCCCGGGATGTGAAAAGGTAGGTGGATGTGCATGGTACATCGCTCACAGCGCTGAACAACGATGCGCGTAACGAAGGAAGAGAGAAGCTGTTATTTTCCTGCGTTAAGGACTCGCGCGTTCAGCGAAGCCACTGGAACGGGCTAACGTCAAACGCACACCGAGCACCCCCGAAAGTCTCTCGCCCACCCTCGTTTCCGCCGGCCTCGCCGCCCCATTAGCCACTTTATTATACGCGTTCTACCTTGAGCGAATCGTTGACCCCGGACGCGGGTTGATCTACCTAAACTGCTTTCCGAATTTTCATTCGCCGCCGCTGCCACCGCCGCGGTGTGCACTTGACACCATCACGGACTCACCACCTTTGGGGGGGTCCGCGCTCACTCATACGAATACAACACTTCGCCCTGGCCCTGATTGATACCGCAGGACGTGATGCTCGATAATTCGCAGACGTTTATTCAACGTCGCTCGAAAGTCATTTTTTACAAAAGCTCACCGTCGCTCTAACTGATGACTGATAAATTCGTACGTTTCAGTCCGGCTTTTCTCCTCAAATCTCAACATAAATTTATCTTGTCCGCCATAAAGAATGTGTACGTATAATTTTTATGAAAGTCACCGCGCAGTGCACTTTAAAAATCGCACGGCATAAAATATTCGATGCAACAAATTATCTGTAAAACATAATTATGGTTTCTTCAACGAAGCCTATGATAGAGAAAACGGAAGAGTCCGACGGGCCTTTCGGAGCGAAGGAAGCGTACTGCTCATTTTGACCGCGCATAATTGAAAAATTTCCGGCAGTCGGAATATTTTTTGAAGTGTTTCACGCGCCGATGGACGTATTGGGATGACGCGGGCAAAATTTTCGATACTTTCGCAACGTATATCTTATTTGGCGCACGCATGCATTCGCCGAGCCATGCGTGCGTTTGACACCGCGCGCCATCATTAATACCGGCTCTCGACCTAGAGAGATTGAAATTTAATGTAATTTATTATTTTTTAATATATCCCATGAAACGTTTTACGCGGATATTTTCGATGCACGCCCCGACCGGTCACTCGAGGGAGGAGGCAGGCGTGTGCACTTGACACCGCGCAGAGTTAAACGGGTTTTGACGCGTTAATGTGTTTTTCCGCTTTTATAGCGAGATCACCGCGCGCCGGGAATCGTTGCATTGAGAAAAGAGTCACGATCATAAGCATTCGTTGAATAGAATTGTTTACATGAATGCTATTCAAAGTAGCGGACGGACGCGTTATCATAGTCATCATTAATTGCCAGGTTCAGTGATAAAAGCGACTTTCATTCGGCTGCTTTAAATGGTTTTAATTTATTTGCATTTAATTATTAATTATTACGTATCTAGTGGATATGTCCAAAAGTTGTATGATGTTATACGCAAAGAGGTTCTTAATAAGAGATAATTATTATAATATCTGCAATAGATTTCGGCTCTCTCGTACAACACATAATGGGAGAATTTCAATAAAACGATAAAAAGGTAGAATATTTCCGCCAATTGTTATAATAAAGATTCTCTATTCTATCGTTACTCTAATATATCAGAAAATCTTGCAAAAACCGCAAAATACAGATTTTAAGAAAAACTATACTTATTGTTCAAATGACGAGAAAAAATAGCTGAGCTGTGAATGTAAAATTTCAGTGCATAAAAGTTGTAGGAATTTTTTTACAATAACAAAACTCTGATTATAATCGCGATATCTATTTTTTTACGGACCAATATTGTTATATTCATTTTCATTAAGTGTCGAAATGAGTAATAAAGCCATTAACGTAAACATATTCGATCCGCGATACGTCTCGGCATCATTATAGACCTCAACGCGACACTAATAATTCTATCAATTACATGATTCGTTTTATCGGTGTAACGCGCTGACTCGCCGCTCGCCCAATTGCGTGTCAATAATATTTGTAGCATTTATACCTAACGCTTGTAATATTGCAGAATACGCGCGTTTAACCAGAAGTCAATCACAGTTCACACGCACGTAGTGTCGAAATCAATTCATCGCGAATTACGGCGAATTTGATTGTAGTTGCTAATAGAAATTCAAATATGCTGACGAATTTCGTAACAAATATTAAATTTCGTTAGCGATAAGATGGACTTTAAAATACTTGAAAATGGCTGTCTCTCTCTACATTGAATGACCCATCATCACTCCAAATTTTTTAATCTAAAATATATAAAACATTAAATATCCCGATGTGATCAAAATTGTCAGATTAAACTGCTCGAAAAATAAAATTTATTTTTATCAAACTGCGTGCGTAAAATATAAAATTGTATCATTTATTCGCACTTAAAATTTAATTTTCGAAAAACTTTGAACTCCACAAATATCGTTGTAATAACAAAATTATAACTCTCTTCTGCTCGTTGGCTCTTCGTCTCTTTTAATTGCGCAACAGAAATTTCGCTGGAAAAAGAATCGATCGTCAATTCTGGCAAACTATTTATCATCGACGGGGGGAAGATAATAACAGCAATTCGAATTGTTCAAGTTGCCTTTCTCATGCCTGCTACATCGTTAAACAACATCGCAGGCAAATAAACAAGTTAACAAACGGCTGCGGAACGACGGGTAATTATACGTCGAACGCTGCAACGTGGGAGACACTCTAAAAGGTGAGAAAGTTATATACGTCTCTGCGAGGAATTAATTCACCTATGCTCGCCCTGCAAATTTTCATACGACGGGACGTATGCGCTTGACATCATGTAGACCCTAACGATCTGACGCGCTAATACACTCTTTAGCTTCAGGGTGTTATCCAGACGGGGAGACCTGTGCACCGCTGCTGACCGTTTACCACCTCCGACCTGTGAGATCGAGCGCGCGTGTGCGTCTATCGCGCGTGTCCGTGTAAGTGACGCGTGTAGTTTTAGAATATTTAACGTCTAAGCGCGGTGATTTATGTATTTGCTAAACACAATTTGAGAACTTTGCGCACCGTTGTAATTGTGCATTGAATTATCCTTGAACAGTACAATGCCCCTAACAGGAATAACTTCACGCCAAAACTAAAAAGTGGGTTCGATGCGTGGATTCGTGAGCGTCAATATTGAAGTGTGTAATATTTTTTCAAATACTAGATTATTCCTCGCAAAATTATTGTAATTCTGTAAAGTGCGTATGTTTTAAGACATCGATATAATATGTAATAGATATTCATCGTAAGAAATGTTTAATCCTCAACGAACTCATTTTTTTCTGCGTCTTATCAAGTGACGTTAATGTGCTCAAAAAAATTCACGCAAGTTCGTCGAAGCGTTAATTAAATGCACAAATCATAAAATTAGATAGCAGTTTAAATATTTTATCTTCATTATTTTTTGAGGAACAAATCTCGGGCAGTTAAAATCGCTTGGACGTTTTTCATCCACGAGTTCGCTCTGGGGGTTAAAAGATGGATATTTTCGAAGATAAAAAAAAGAATTCATCGATCGGATCGCATAAGAGCGCAAATATTCTGATTATTCTGAATTCGATAGCAAAAAGATACGCAACGGAGTTTTAGCGCAAGATGTCGAGGTCGTGAGTTTCCCCTATCTCGCGCTGGAGAACGATATTCAGCATGCGGGGATGAACGGACAGAGCGACAAAATCGGTAAAGCGGTGAGCAATTCAACTTCAACCGAAAAGCGTGCGGCGGCGGCGGCGGCGGCGGCGGCGTTCTCTCAGGACGGAGGTGCTTTGTTACTTTTGTTAGTTCCCAGCCTGCCTGCCGCTGACGGGACAATCAATCACCGCCGTCTCTCGGTAAACGCAAAACGAAAAGAAGGAGAGATAGAGAAAGAGAGAAAAGTGAAGGGAGAGCGAGAGGACCGAGAGGGCGCGAGAGAAGATCGAAAGTAAAGCGCCGCGGTTTCCCCGGCGGTGTATATGCGAGTTGCCAATTTATGCCGCACGTCTGGAGAATCTGAACAATGAAATCGGTGATTTAAGTTGTTCTTCCAAAGCCAGAGAGTTCAGCACTCTGGCGGCGAAAAGAATTTTTAAATCTAAAATAAAAGGTAAATCGTGTATCTTGAGATTATTCCGGAAAATTCCTGCAAAGTTCTGACATGATAAAAGAATGTATTAAAATTTTTACGTTAGCTAAAAAAAATTGATTAAAAATGCATGCAATAGACAAATAATTAGAAATGCTTTTTGAAAAAATTGTGAAACTCTTACGTTCTAGGATCAACTCGTCAGTTTTCAGTAGCAAGTTACAAGTCTAACGTTTTGAATATTTTACATTAATTTTATTAAAATTGCAAGTCTAATATTTCTCGCGCAATACTCTTCATTTACAGCACGTGTCCAATATATTTTCTTCATACTTTATTCTCATATAAAATAGATTCATGCTTTACTGCTCGAATTTAAGCTGCATAGATAAAAATTTAATTTGATATATTCTTATCGATAACTTGCTCGTAATGATATATGTTTGTAACTATTGAATAAAATTAAAAGGCACGGTTGATTATATCTTGTTCTTTTCAGATTTATCGATGTAGAGCTGTCAAATTTGTCGATGCGTATACGCGATCCTAAAAAGACTCCCTCAACTAGAATTTCAAGCACGCTTCCTCAGAAAACCCAAACTGCGAGCGAGCAGCGTGTCGATTTCAATATCTTCTCCCTCGACATAAGAAGACAGTATAGTTATATGGAATGTTGAAAATTTCGATATAAACATTTTCAATAATAAATAATAGAAATAGACGCAAATAATAAAAGACGATGCGTTGCCTCGAATTACATCGTATATGCTTATAATTAAAGTTATACAT